ATATACCGACACACACAGACACAGATACAGACACACACACATATATATATACGTATGTATGTATGTATGTATGTATATATACATACACACACACAAACAGATACACTTACATACGTACATACATACATACATACATACACATTTACATACACATATACATACACACACACACACACACACACACACACATATATATATATATATATATATAGATATTCTAGCGAGAAATTATAACAAAGTGGCACGAAAATGAAAGTATCAGCTTCAACTTTTGGAGTGGGTTGTTTAATTTTTGCTTCGGATGCAGCGGAATAAGCGTTCTTGAAACTAATTCGTGAACAATTGTCCAATCTGGCTAGGTATTATTGCTCGTGCGATTGGTCACGTTGAAAAGTACAATTTCTATATATGTTCCTATATGCTTTGTATTGACGTGGATTCATATTTTGCATTCACATAAATGAACTTACAGTTAGTCGATGAGCACTCCACTCTTTCTAAGATGAGTAACGTTTTCTAATTCCCAGTTGTGTGATGAGTGCCAAGAGTAAGAATAATACTGCGCCTCAGTGCACAATATCCAGATACATACTTGGTTTCTCTCTAGTAGTAGAGTTTGTATTTATGTAGGCACGAAGCAAGGCTTGGTTTTTACAATACGGTGACGCTTCCGGGTGTCTTCTCTACACGCGATTTTGTTGTAAATATCAGTTTTTTATTTCTACGTGTATTTTCAAATAATTCATAATTTTCAATAGATTCCCGTTGTCCCTTTTTTGGAAAACAATTATTTAATAAGGAACTTCTTAAAATTCATCAAATTTTTCATGGCCTTCTGGATTTGAGTCTGCGCTAAATTTACAATTTCCGCTACGACGAAACCTGATTTCTGTTTCTGCTCGAGAGCCAAATCCAGAGGGCTATGAATTTTTGTTTTGGGCTTGTTCTGCTCATTTGCACATATACTCTTATAAATGGGGTAGAGATTAGTAAAACCGATCCAAAAGAGACACTCATAAAAATGAGAAAAGCACCAATAGGCTAAAAGCGCGCGCAGCCTTTCCTTTTTTTCTTTTTCTCTTTTTTTTCCGTCTTCAGGCACCAAAGAAAATCCAGAACAAACTACAACGGCTATAAAAATATTGCATCCAAACAAAGCAATTGTTGAACGTAAACCTGCAATGACAACGTAAAACGTATTTTATTGTTCGTATGCACTGTGTAAGAACTACAGCCTACGCCCTACAGATATTCTATATATTTATGTAAATATAACACACTTTTTAAAACGGCTACAGGCTTGTAGACATACAATTTTCCAGCAACAAGTTCAGCTAATATACAACAGTTGAGCAAGTCCGTATTTGCTTACAAGATTACATAGGAGTACACTCACGATTACGCCCTCGATATCGAGATAGACATCAACGAATGAAGACAATCAACTGGCCTGTACAAACAAAGGAGTGTGCGCGATATGTACAGGCTGCTTCTAGAAGTCGACGATTCCGCTCCATACGTTAAGGATCAGTTATTTGAGAGACCTCGCTCAAGTAAGTTCATAAAAAGTGAATAGAAGAATCTGCTCACACACGTCTGCGTGTATTAGGAGTTTTATTTGGCGTGAATCGAACAATTAATAGTATTGTTGACACGCAGTTGGCCAGTAAGTAATTGATATGTAGTTCGTGGGTGTATCCATAAATGTACGAGTACCTGGGTTGAATGTAACTTCCATGAGAGTTGACACACGTATGGGCTTATTATAGATTATAAGTATAGCACGCATGAACAAATACTAGTACTGCCGACGCTCAGTAGGACGTTGAGAATTTGACTTTAGAGCATCGATTAACGTTTTATATGCAGTCCTTGGTTATATATTGGATTAACTATTCTCTGTATTACCATGAAAGTTGAACCTTGTGCGATCGACCCACACCTCGATAGTGATATTTCGGTGGTATACTTTCTTTTAGCAGGACAGTTTCTATCTAGCTAATTTCTGCACGACTGTCCAGAGCTTGACGTTAAACCGAAAGCATTCACTTAATTCAAAACTCGACAAAATGGTCCAATTTATTTATCTTGGCGAGAAACTGCCCAGAAAAATGTTTCTCTGCACGAAAGTGGTCAGTTCCCGTCTTTCTGCTTGAGACTGTCTGTGTCATATATCTACACACGGACATAACTAGATTGTTGGTTTTCACCTGCGGGTGTCCATATAGTCTATCCTTACACGTGAGTAAGCAGATAACATACCGATAATTCATTTCTACGTGAAAGCGATTGTCCCCGTCTTGTACAGAGGATGCCCGTATCATGCTTCTCCACACGAACGTAATAAGGCGTGCAGTTGGTTCTACACAAGGCTGGCCACATAGTCTATCCCTACACAAGAGTGACCAAAGAACCATACAGATAATTTATTTCTACACGAAAGTGATTGTCCCTGTCTTGTGCTGAGGATGTCCGTATTATGCATCTCCACACGAATGTAATAAGGCGTGTAGTTGGTTTCTACACAAGGTTGGCCATATAATCCATCCCTACACGAAAGTGACCAGATACCTATACAGCCAATTTATTTCTACACGGAAGTGATTGTCCCTGTCTCGTGCAGAGACTGTCCATATTATGCATCTCTAAACGAACGTAATGAGGCAAGTAGTTACTTTTCACACAAGGTTGGTCATATAGTCTATCCCTACACGAGAGTGACAGATAATTGCACAAACAATTTGTTCCTACACGAAAGTGATCGATTTCCATATCTCTGCCGGAGACTGTCCGTATGATATACCTCCACACGGACATGACTGGACAGTTAATTTGTACGGGAGAGCCCGTACGTATGTCTTATCTCTACACGTGAGTGATCCGATAGTTTAGCTCGAGACAAGGCTTCTCAGCTAGCTTATCTCTACACGACAGTGTCTAGTTTAGGTCGATTGGTCTAGATACTTTGTTTTCATACGTATAGGACCAGACAATCCGTAGCTATACGAATGCGTGGCCTGGTTATTCTCAGCTTCAGGTGACGGAACAGTGGACCAGGCAGTCCGTCGCTACACAAATGTGTGGCCTGGTTATTTACAGCTTAGTTCTCTGAACTCACCGGTTGAATATTTTGCCTACTCCATGCGCAGTTCTTAAGCAACCATTTGTTGTGTATCTATGATTAGGTGTAGTGTTCATAGTTTGCTTATTAATCCCGGTGAAAGCTAAATTAGCTCTTTACTACAATTTCCAATGCCTTGTGGGCAGAGTTCGTTCGTACTCTCGCACTATTGTGCATGTGACAAGTTATCCCAGGCTTGTGTGCAGGTGCAACAGTTGAATAGTATACAGACTAACACTGGGGATATGATACAATGCTCTCATTTATATTCTCACTTAATCCAATCATTCATTACATATTGCACAAAAGCACGATTTCCAAATCTTTTCAATTGGCACCCTTCAATATGTTTACACACCGCTCGTCTTTGCTCATGTAAGGCTTTACATATCGTTCAAATCATCTATTCCGAATCACTTCACATACATAGAATTACAATTCAGATTCTCCAGCGCATTCTACTGCACACAGGTCAAGTACAGAGCACGGACGACGACGGCCAGAGCGCCGCGCGTGTCAAAACCACAGGACAACGAGAGTTCCGTTCCTTCGATATTCTACAGTACGACATGTCTTCTGCGACTGGTATGTGAATACGACACATCTGCTGTGGGTGGTTCGTCAATACGGCATGCCTGCTGTAGCTAGTCTGTCAATACGATATGTCTGCCTAGACTGATATGTCAATACCACGTGACTACCGTGATCATTAAGTGAATACGACATTTATGATGTAGGTGGTTTTTCAAACGACATGTCTGCTGTGTCTGGAAGCCGTCATAGATAAAACGCGGATATTTTAGATAGATCGTGTGTGATTTGTTAGAGCAATACTGTGCCTATTTGAGATCTATTCCACAGCCAGGATTGTTGTAGGCTAGGGTTTAGGGCCAACGATAAGAAACATAAGATAAGCAGTGCGAATTAATAAAGAAATAGTATCGTTGCTGAAACCTACGTGAATATGTACTTAAATTTGTGAATGGCATTACCATCCTATGCACTTGTCTAAATCGCAGTGTATTCAACACATTAGCTTAGCTCTGATAGTTCACGCGTTCTTTCAATGTAGTTTTATACTTTTAGGCACTTATTTGCAGTCAGTGAATTTAATAGTTTCTCTCTAGATCTGGTAGATCTGTGGCGGCCGAAACTACCAGATAGGGTAGTTTAGCTAAAATACAACTCGTGTATTAATGCGAGGATTTTGTGTTTTGATGCTACCCCCCTCCCCCACATACCCCAAGAATTTGTGGTTTTTGGTCTTATTATGTTTGATAGCTGCATGCTTGTGTGGCTAATCTGCCAAATTGCGGCCTGCGAGACCTCTGTCCTTTCTCGCATGGTATCTAATTTTGTGTATATACGGCTTTACTTCTCGAAAGTGACTTCTCCTGTTTAGCTTCAATACTGATTCTATTCAAGTATTTTAGTAAGTATGCTATGTCCTCAACTCTTCGTTCTCAATTTGAACACGTCTTTCGTGTATACACACACACACAC